CCTATCACAATACTCTACTATTTCAAAGAATTATTAATGCAACTACTGAGCCGTACATTTGTAGGAGACGTGCAAAGTTTTTTTAATCAAGACAATGCAGCCTCAGTATTGCTTCTGTTACCCATCTACTACTCCCATTAATCTATCACACATTTTGATGTTTATCAATTTCTTGTTACTTAACAACTAAATGTGCGATTAAGATTAAGTTTAAACTTAGAATTAAATAAATACTTTACCTCTGACCAAACTCTACTGCCATGTTTTGAGTATCTGAAATCAGTTACATATTTCTGATTTAGTATTTAATAACATATTTTCAATATTTAATACTCTCCAATATATAGTATGTAACTAGCCTAAAATAACTGTTGTGTGTCGGTTATTGTGTCATTTCACTATATAACTCTAATATCATTTTGCTCCAATCCACGTTTAAATTTCACATAAAATAAAGTAGGCAACCCTCAAATAACAGATTCCCTTCTTTGATCTTCTACCATTCTTCCCTTAAAAAGCTTTATAAACGTAAATCCTGTTCCTATTAAGAGATTAATTTGAACACCATATCTATGAACAAATATTTCTTCCTTATTTCTCCTTTTTTTTCTTTCCTTTCTTTCGTCTTCCTGACTAACCTTCCCATTTGATCTCTGCCCACCACCATCATTGTAACACCCTTCCACCTTGGACCTACAGTTTGATGCTGCTGGCCAAAGGTGCTGGCAATCTCCACCTAGTCATTTGGTCAATGGTCACCTATAGCATGGCCTACATGCCACTGGATCATCATCTCAGCAATTTTCTGGACACTTCTGGAAACACTGGCTCCAACTCTTCCACATCAACAACATTCTCCATGGGTCTAACACCACCAGCATTGTCATGTTCATGCCAATGTGTTCGACTCGATGTTCTCTTCGACCACAACCGCCTCTATGGCACCGCTAATGCACTCTCTCCATCACCCACCCCTCCTTGCCACTGGCTTTGTTGCCCTAGGTTGTAGGCATACTTAACCTCAGCACTGATTGCTAAGGGCAGAATTAGACATAGAGAACTGCTTTATCATATGGAAAACCTACTTGACTTCACCAATGAGGAACAGGATGCACTAGCGCATTTGCAATGGCAATGATGAGAAGAATTTCCACCCATCAACAAAAGCAATTGGTTGGTAAATCCCCATCTAATACTGTTTGAAAGTATTCTCCTTAGTTGAATAACAATCTGGAGTATAATATTGCTACAGGATTTTCAATTCTAACTAATCAAAGACTAAGACTGAGCAGCCCATACCACAAAATCCCATCCATACTTCTCGGCGAATGCTTTTGCAGCTTCTTCACTGTCAAAAGTTAGACCTGCATCGCCTACATTTGCATAGGGATCCCCAGTAGATGTCCAGCCCATCAATGGATTCTCCCACCTAGAAGGCATAAGATGTCAGGATAAACAAGCAATCACTCAATTCCCAGTTATCCCTGCTTTAATCTACTATGTCACATATGAAGTTTGAACAGCAACCAATCAACAAAAGGGCATGTGATAAGTCATCAAGAAGAAATTCAGTAACAAATAGCTTTAGTATGTAGAATAGATTTACAAATTCCAGATCTTAACAATTAAAGTTAGGTTAAAAGCTTCGACATATGTCATTCTGAAGATTTTAAAAAAATGAATTTGCTGGTTGCATTGAGAGACCATAAACAATATTATTTTAGCTTAAGTTCTGACAGTTAAAATATTTATAATCTACAGAGTTACAAATATTACCAGCATTCTGAAACAAAAATTTTCAACGAGTTATTCAACCAATGTTGTCAATGCTATATACATGCGTTCTCCAACTTTACAAGACAACTCATCTGTTAATAATATCCTCAATCAGACTCGAAATATTGAATCCTAGTAACAAATACGGACCAGACCAGTAAATACTAAAACCAGTGGGTAAATTAATAAAATAACTTTAAATTTTGTAGTGTTACTAAATACTAGTAACAAAAACTTATCAGACCAGTAAATTGGTAAACTAATTAAACAATATTGAAAATCATATACTAATGATATTTGACAGAAATCTGTTCTACATCAGCATACCACTACCCAGTTGAACCAGTATTGAGGGAGGTGGTGCAGCATATGTTTCATTTCCTTTGTGTGCACATGCATAGTGCTGGCAAGGTTCAGAAGTAAAGATTCCAAATTCGGTTTGAATTCATATCAAGGTTGAGAAGGAGATATATAGCAAACCCTATAATGTTCAAAGCACTTGTGTTTGATTGTTCATTGTAAATCAAAACTGTGCAAGGCTTGCAAGATTGCCAATTTTACACCAACTTGTTAGAGTAGCGAACAGATAAGATATTGTTTAGTTTCTAAAAAACAAAAGTCAAAATAATAGGATTAATAAAATGGAAAAAGAATCAATCATATGGAATTTAGACTGTTATCGGAATAAGTATTATTTTATACATCACAAGAATAGAGTACACCTTAAACCTAGTTTATGAAGAATAACTTTCGGAAATAAGGTAATGGATCTAGGTGCATTCCATATGTCTTATGTACATGATAAACAGAGCATAAAAGCAAAAACGGTGCATGTACAAGTGCCACCTGCTGTCTTAGCCTCTTAGGTATGATTCACCAGCAAAAGCACAATAAAATATGACATCACAGCTGGTGTTTCATATCTTTATTCAACATTTTACAAGCTAAAACAAAACCACTGTCCCTTAAAGCAGAAATGTAGAAATGAGACTATCGAAACAAACACTAATTATATTACCCATTTTTCATGTCAATTTGTAAGTTAAGATGGAGTCATTTTCATGATGACTATATGAAACCAACATATTATGTAACAGAAAACTCAGATGCTCTGCTAGACAAAGCAGTCGAGATGCCCATCCTCATCCCATCTTTTTATAATGACGAAAGTACTCAAATGAATGAAGAACTGGAGAATCATACTTCTGGGTCGACACAAAGTTGATCTTCCACTTTCCAACTTTTCCAGAACCTTGCTGGGTTGCAGTCCGAGCTGGTGAATATATTATGACCTGTATATCAGTGCATAAATAAGTCCAGACAAAGAAATACAAACCAATAGACGAAGCACGAAGGAAAAAAAAAAAATCTAAGCAGCCAACCAATGATGTCAAAACAGCAGGTTACATTCGGGAACTGTTCGAAACAACTTAGATGGCTATTGTTTTATAGTCCTTAAAGATCCAATTCAACATTCTCCTTCAGAAAACACTTGGGACTAATATCATACGACTGCATTGTTTTCCCACAACGACAAGATCAAGAATATCGGGCCCAGAATCAATTAAAATGCCCTATCCAACAAACTTCAAAGCAAAGTAAGGAAAACCCTAATTGCCAAAGGCCGAAAATTGACCATCATGTTGCTCAAAGTAGATTTACCTACGAATTCCTAGAATACCAGCCGATGAATGAAGATCTGAGGAACAAAGCAATTAAAAGAAGGAGAAAGAATCGAGTGAGAGGGGGTACCCGGCGCCGGAGGTGTTCTTGAGGGACGCCAGAAACGGTTCCGATCTCGCCGGGCCTGAGCTCGACGAGGGAGTCCGAGGCGAGCGATCTCGTCTGCGAGAGGGAGACGAAGCGCGCATGAGCGAGGCGAGCAAGGGAGGTGCCTTGACGCCGGAGAGGAGCAGCCATCTCTGCCTCGACGGCGGAGAGAGAGGGGAAATGGGAGCGTTCGGTTATTAGCGGAACGATCTCGATCGGCGATGCTGCCGCGGCGGTCTGTGCTTTACGTTTGCAATTCGGGCCGTACTTCCACCATCTTATTTTGGGCCCATTAATTTGGGCCGAATGTCGGATGAGAAATTAGGGTTCGGTTTCTATGCGGATCGGATTTTGTTCTGTTGGGATCCAATCGATCCGATCAACTCATACTTTTGTGTTATCTTGATGATCAGAATTCCACAATCTCCAAACAACTTGTCTTAGTAAGGAAGTAATCAAACAACAATTGCCAGCCCACCATTAGTTTCTATTTATTCGATTGGTGGTTTGTAATAGCAATCATCACATAGTACTGTATTAGCTATTGTCTCCCTTTGGGGAGTATGAATTCACCATAGTTCCCTTTCATATGGGCTGCAAGTCGAAAAGAAGCATCACCATCATTGTTCTTTGCTGCCACAACAAGATAGCAATCCATAGTCTTCCTCGACGATGATGCTCCTCCATGAATGGATCACTTCATCCTCATAGTTCTTCTATGATTCTTTATTTGTAATGCCAGAGGAGTTGTCAAACTCATCTCCATGTATTGCTGAACACAAACATCATCACAGCTTTACTGATACCCTTCTGCTGCGTTTCCTTGTTATTCTGTCAAGTGTGAGAATGTTTTGATGAGATGTTTAGAATCCCAATTCTCTTTAATTTACATGACCAATTACTGAGTAAGCTTCTTTGTGTTAGGAACTAATGCTCCATACACTCATCTGTAAGAGAGTGCAGCCACTCTCCTCTCCATGACAGATGAAGTCTGCATGCACCAGCAATCATCATGCAGCTGCAGCCTTTTGTTTTCTTTCTTTCTCCTGTGGCTTTTGCTAGGGAGTGTGTGTCCTCTCCAATTATTGGAAGAATCCAAGGCTGATAGGCACCATCTATATTTGAGGGGTGGGTTGGACTCTTCCTGGTGGTTGGTACAGGGGGCCTTCAAGTTTCCTATATCTGCACTGCATTCCCTCTCCCTCAGATTAATTTTCCTCATGTTTTGCCTCCAAGAGTTGAGCAGATCTGTAAAAAGTAGTTTCATGCTACAAAATGGCAATTATATGACCACATTTATGAGCAGTTTATTACATGAAGAACTTCTTGGGTTATGTTTTCCTGTCAACAACTAGTTTCACCACCTTTGATTCATTCAAGCAACCAGAAAAGTAACAATTCACAAGCATTGTTCTTACGAATCTGAAAGTGTTTCCCCAGTATCACATAAGGCATTAGCACAGAAAAGGGCTCCTGGAATTTGAAGCATTCCAACTCCATATGTTCCAAGTAAGAAAGTTTTACAAGCGGATACCGGCATCGAAATAGTAGTTTCTTTTAAGAGCATGCATATCTCATGAAACATAAGACGCGGTAGAACACATCTTCTTATGGTCGACACTGCATCAAGAAGAGAGAACAAGAAAAAGGACACCACTCATAAAGGGATGAACCAGTCGGATAGCAGACGAAAGATTGGAATTTGATCACGCCGCAGATGCTTCCGCGCAGGCTGTTGCCTCGCATGAAATCTTCTCTTCGCCGTTCTCAAGTTGGCTGTAGTTTCCCTTCTCTTTGAAGAGCTGGATGTGGTGATGCTTGCAGTACAGCCTTCCCTCATGCGCAATGTAGTTCGAAGGGCTGATGACACATCCTCCACGGGAACATTTGAAGCAGCTCTTGTGATATGCAGTGCCGTTAACCGTGACCTACGACAGAGATTTGAAATTCGAATCCTTGAATCGATTCTTTCATGTTGCATGCTATAATGAACTAGAAAACCAGTGCATAATTTGAAACTATTCGATTAGGTGAACGCTATCGAAGGTATGCAAATCGAGATAATCCCAATCTGTTTTTTTATGGATTGGCAGGTCAGATTCATTCTCATAATCAGAAAATATGAACAACTTGCGAGACGGATTTTTCTCTACTTGAAAGATGACTTTGATAAGTGTCAATTGTTGGAATTTGCGATGTGATGCATAAGTAATGAAGAAAGACAGGACAGGATGGAGTTTGTAAGTGGTAAACTCAAATCGAATGAAATTACCCTTTCGATCGGATAAACAGTCTTGTTGCATCCAACACACTTCTCTCTGGTGCCAGCAAAAGCACTTGAAACCTTGCTTGCATTCTGTACAGCATTTTCCAGTCCATTATCGACAGGGGATATAGCAAATTATATGCAAGTATAGACAAACAACAGGCTCTGAAAAGAAGAAAAAGCTGAATCTATAAGGAAATAGGTTTAGGAATTGCCGAATTTGTATCCTACACAATTGAACACCACATGAACTTCAAGAACACTAATGGATCATTATACCTCGTTCTCGACATGTTTTTCCGGTTTGACAATCTTCGGTGTCCCTGAAACAGAGAAGGACGAACCACCATTTTTATGTAACACAGCAGCAAGTATGTCGAAGAGATTGGGAGAAACCACGATTACCTTCAAAGCTTTTGTCCAGGCTGCCGGTCATCTTGAAAAGCTGATCAAAATGGGGTCTGCAGTACAGGACTCCCTCGAAGGAGTTGTAGTTTCCCAGCTGCAATGAGACAATAGCAGCAGAACGATGAAGAAAGATGTTGCTCTCAAGCTATAGAGATGTGCATGAGTCTTCAGCAGCGATTTCAAGTTTCTATTGCCATAAATGCAGATGAATCTGAAGATCCTAAGATTGTACATAATATTGCATCAAGGAACTCATAGATTTGAAGAGTGCAATCCGAACCAATTCTTTAAGAACAAATCACTCGTCAAAGGATGATAGATGAAGCGTGTGCAGTTATAAATGACAACATGATTCAGCTCCCAATCTCACACCCATCTTGATCAGCTAAGTTCTCAAAAGCAATTGGTGTATGAGACACCGAATCGGAAATTTAACGAACGAGAGATGGTCTTGCAGATGATCAAACCATAACCTTATCATGGAACAAGAACAGCAGCTGAAGATTGATCTTCCGTTCTTCTAACACGAGAAACAGGGCAGGCGAAAGAGAAAAGGAGGAGCACCTTCAAGGTCCCCTTGCAGTGATGGCATCTGAAGCAAGCCTTGTGGTAGATCCGGTTGTCGGCGGTGAGCTTGTCGACCAAGTACACCGTCTTGTCGCACGCCGTGCACTTAGTCGTCGTCCCCTGGAACGCCATGGCTCTTCTCCCACTCCTACTTGCGCGCACCCTCCTCGACTCACCACCCGTTCTCGTGTTACCGCCGAGCTCCCTCAGGCGTCGGCAAGGCCCGGAGAGAGGGAAGACGTCAGCTGCAGACAATTGCGGTGGAGGCAAGCAAATAAAGGAGTGGGGAGGAGGGGGGGTAATGATGAAGATGCATGGGGAGACAGGTAAGAGTTGATGGGAAGCGACAGGTTTGTCGCCGAGCTTAATGCATGCACAACTATTATTTGCAGCAACGTTTTCGCCCATCGCTGCTGTTCTCTCTATTATTAATCTGCTTTCTTTAGACGAGTGAGATAAATAATAATAATAATAATCAATGCCCAGCTGGAAGGAAAGATGACATGGAGAAGGAATAGCTGATCCCTGTCGCACCTTCGATGTTATTGCTGTTGTTTACGTACGAGTGGCTGCAGCAAAGAGATGAACGAAACCTGACTCTTCTTCTAATCACACACAGCTTTAATTTTGGGAGGCAAAGTGAACATTTTAAAGTCCCGAGCAGGTGAAGAGGCACCTAATAAAGCTTCACGTAATCCGAATTAGTTGACGGGTCGGAGTCATGCTTTGGACTTATTGCCTCTAATAAAATTTTTACCGATCGATTAGTAGTAAGGGCCAGCATAGCATTACTACTGGTCCTAATTGTGTCTTTCTACCGTTGATAAAAGTGGAGGATGGGATGGGGCCCTGGAAATAATGGGTGCACGACAAGGACATTGCCAGCTACTTTCGACTCGTAAACTCCAGATAGAAGACGCACTGCAGCTTATGTTTCTTTCCTGCAATGGTACCACTCTGCACTGTGTAAACTGTAGCTCATGTTGTTTCTCTTGCAATCCGGACTGTATCGTCACTGTTTTGAACTTGTCGTCTAATCAATTCCAAAGTTAACGATAGATAGATCGACTTGAATTCGAACTACAGCGGTTGTAAACAATATTATGTATATTTTCGTTTCAAATTAATTTGAATTCGAACATTCGAATTCTATGTAATAGTCTTTTTCTGGGAATAAAAATTCTTCCTCCATCGAGTCGTGTTTCCGAACCACATCTGTGCTGCTAGAGATTGTGATGATTGATGAGATGGAAGTTGGCTGGCAGCTGCTGCCGCTGATGATGAGAACGGAGGCAGGCCAGCAAACTGCCAGCTTCGTTTCTGCACTTCCACTTGCTGCTGCTGCTGCTACTGACCAACCATCGGATTGCTTCTCATTTGGCCAACGTCGTCACCATTATTATTTCTTTTCCTTTCATGAGTTGGTGGTGGTGGAAGTCGCGATGGCATCCTGCCCACCTAAGTTCATATTTCTTCGGATGCTCGCAAGCCGACGGTGGGCATGATATTGGGTCGGATTCTACTATGTCCGAATTCGGATCCGATAAGTTCACGGGCCGGTCAATTACTGGGCAATTCCGAGATGATTAGGCCCATTAACAATAGTCTAACTTATCATATCTTCACTAAAATGACTCTCGAGGATTCCACGGAAGAGATGCTATGCTTTGAACATTATGATGTTGTGTATCTAACTATTTAATAGAGCATAATATATCATTTTATAAATATTGAAGAAGCTGATTAGTTTAGTTGATAGGGAATATTCTAGCATCAATAGTAAGTTACTAGCTAGTAGTTGTCAGGGAGTTGACATGCAGAATAGTTAATAGCACGACATCTGTCTGACGTGAGAGAGGGTTAGGCTAGCGATCGATACTCCCTCGGTCATCCCCTATCGGCCCCGCGTCGCACGGGATGGTACGGATTGACGTCATACCATAGGAGCCTGAAAAGGCCAACCCATGCTGCATAAGGTTGTACGAGTTGGTCGCTTGCATGAATACACCACAGGAGGTACGGGTGGCCCCTGTACAACCGTAGTTCCCTCCCATCGTCTCTACAAATATAAAAATCGGTCCCCGACGTTTGAAGAAAGGATCGATCCCCAAAAACCCCCACAAGATATAGAACCAATCTCCATCAGCTAACTAAAGTATCAAAGGGTTCGAGTCGAAAATCCCATCCGACATCGACTTGTTATGTAGGGTCTTGATGAAGAACGAACATACTCTAGTTTTACCTCGGGATAACTTTGGAATCATCCTCGCCAATCCCAACTTAGCTTCAACCTTCTTCGAGAAGATTCACTCAAACAACTTCGCACATTCGGGACAAGATCATGCCATACTGATCACTGATTAAGTTGTTAAAAGACTTTATCGGATGATAACGATGACTTTGTGATCAAATTTCATGTTTACTATTTATTGTTTAAAAAAATTTCAAGGGCTCTTTTCGGAGTGATATGAATATAATCTCCCCTAAAAGAGAAGATAAAAGAAACGAATGCTTGGCCAATCCAATCTGCCACGTCGGCAGGGTGATGACAACTAAAACCGTATCCACCACACAAGCTGACCTACCACCTCATCACCAAATCATATTGTCCTCCCAAAGTCAAGTCCATTCTAGAAACTATAACTGCAAACTAATACTAGACACCGAGATCCGGGTCAACCAAGACATGGGGAAGGCCTTAACATTGTGATAGATTGAATCACCTAAATTTCTCAAGTAATCGACACACGATATGTAACGTGGTTTGACCACTGTCGACTCCCAAAAACCTTTGGCTATCGAATGAGAACTCTTGTGATCTCTTAAATTTCTTATATCAATGTTATTTCATCTAAGAGATCAAATCATTTGTGGGAGGAGAAGTATGATCTCTCTCTCTCTCTCTCTAAGCTAATACAAGCGAGCAAGACATACGTTAAATTTCGTGTGATCACCTATTCTTTTATAATATAGTTTATATTATAATATATAATCAGATATTAATCGAATGAAACAAAAATTCACAGTGATGTGATGACGAGCATCCGCACACCACATGGATCATGTGCATCGAATGGACCATTCATTACACAGTCCCAAGTCTCAACACAAGATATCCTTTTCCAACTATAAATAAGTTGATGGTGCAGGATAATAAGTTTAAAGGCCGTTGATGTATGGTGCAGACCTAAATCAACATGTCTCACGAGGTTGATGTTGACTTTTGAAAAGAAGACTCCCTTGATGACAAGGTGAGAGAGAGAGGTTATCTTCGATGAGCTCGAAACATGTCCATGATTTGTGTAGAATAAGATCATGGCTATCAAAGACAGCAACAACATATGTAGAATTAACTTGTCTCATGGTAAGTGATGAGCATGAAGATTATATTTGTCGTTGTTTTCTTCTATACCCTTGGCCATTCTCTGTTGATCGAAGAGTGGCGGTCATAACTCGATTATTTGGAATTGACAGGTTTGGCTTGCATCGAGTGGATATGCCCCCCCCCCCTCTCAAGCTCTATCCACTTTGCATCCGTTCTTAGCACGGAGCTTCGGTATTTATCTGCCATGCAAAACAACAGATAAGAATGACGTCCTTCTTCTGGAAGGTGGAAAAAAGGAAGCACTTAAGACCCACCCAACATCCTTCGCATGACCTCCGTGATGACACCTTTGACTCGCTGCCACTCGTTCCACTTTGTTTTGCCGTCCGTCGCTTAATCCCTAATGCATCCATAGAATCCAAATAAATTACATGACTACGTAACTCTTATGTTCTACCTATGCTCTGAGATATGTTATGATGCCAGATGGCGCTTCTAGATTAATGATCATTCAATAATCATCCTGGAAACCAGATATTGACTTCGTCGTTATTGATCGATGTTTATTGAGTTAGACATATATATATATATGCTTGATTAACACGTCAACGTTAAATTATTTCTCTTATATGGACTATGTAGGCTATGGTCCAACTTGATGGCCGTGTCTCAATACACCCCACATGCAGAACATGACCCACTGACACAGTTTCTCCTTGCGGCCGAAGAGGACTCTCTTATCGTGTAGCAATGTGGAAACCTAAAAATTCCTAATGGAAGGATTCAACACCCAACCGCTCTCTGCCTGTTCTTGCAAGTTACACCGCACTGAACCCACAAGTCAACACCGAGATAAATATACGGGCGACAGAAGCTTCCTTGAACGGCTGAGACCTGAAACTATCGTCTTATATATACTAGCATACATCGAACAGAAAAGGGTGACTTTGAGAAATCCGTAGCAGTTTCACATGCGATATTGCCCAAACTATGTTCTGCGGGACAGCAAGCTTCAAGAGCGTCGACAGTGATCCATGGACTCCTTCCTCGCCCAAGGCAGCGAAAAAGAAGGCCGGCAAGAACCCCTACTCGGCCAGAGGCCTCGACAAGTTCGCCACCCTGGTCGCCGAGCTCGAGGCTCGCAAGGAGCGGGTGCTGGCGAGGGCCGCGTCGCAAGGGGCGGCGGCCATGGTGCGGTTCACGTACTCCGGCCCGAACGAGTGGATACCGATCATCGTCAAGATAAGGGATCCACAAGTCGAAGCCGGCAAGCCGTCTGACGTCGAGAAGCCCAAGGCGCCGCCTCCAGTGCAGGCCATCTCGGAGGCTTCCCCGCCCGAAAAGGACGTTGGCGAGGGGGTGGAGACGGTGGCGCCGGAGACGAAACCGAAGGGCCACTTTTCTTGGGGCGTGGGAGGGGCCAAGGGGTGGTCTGGGAAGAACTGGAGGCCGAGCTACTACTGGCCTTTGGTGGCGGTGCTGATGCTGCTTTGCTTGGTCATGTTCGGGAGGGTGTTCGCCATATGCTGCACCACCGTGTGGTGGTACATGGTGCCGATCATGCAGGGCGAGAGCGGTGCAGGTGTGAGGAGGTCCATCAAGAAGAAGAAGGATTACGGGAGGAGACTAAGTGACAAGAGGATGGCTGGCAATTTAGCACCTGCACCTTCTTTCCAGGCCAACAAGGTCAGGGGGGTGCAGGAAGCGTCGTCTCCTCGAGGCCATGTCAATGGAAAGAGAGGGTAATATGATCAGGAGAAGATCATCATCTTCTTCTTCTTCTTCTGCTTCTTCCTTTTTTCTTTCATTTTTTTTTTTGTTCTTCGTAGGACTGTTCGATTTCTGTAATAATTAGGATCACTGCCGATGTATATATATTATCTCCGTGGAAGATGGTTTTGGTTGGGGATCAATCTCCAAGCTCATCGTCAAGGCTTTGTTCATAAGAAAATTTCTTTTCTCAAAGGTTGACTTGATCTTATTTTTCCGGGGGATTCAATGTAGCGTATTGCAAATTTCTTCCCCGCGCCTTAACATCATTCCCCGAAGCTCTCTGTCTGTACATTAGATTGAGACAACACGGGGGGTAAGAAAGGCGATTGGAGAGGCAAGACGGGGCCCTACTAATTAATCCCTGCCATTTCGACGGGTAAGAAAGGCCGAAGCGACCTATCGAATAGTCTCAAATCTAAATTTCAATTGATTACGAGGTCTCACCAACCGTCTCTGCCTACTACCACGTTATTTCCATACGAGAAATGCTACGCGTAACGACTTGACTTAGTCGTGACTCAAGTCGCGACTTCTACATGGAACACGATGCGCATCCACCGTGGTTGAACTGGCCTCTTTGTGGCATGGCCACGTCAGCCAGTCGCAACTCGAGTAGCGGCTTGAGTTGCGGCATCTAGCAAATTCTATGTCACTAATTTAAATAAGAATGACCAATATCAACACTAGACGCGTAGGATAGCTAAAAAGGATTCTATGCGAATCCCATTCACAGAGAAACTTCTTCCACTGACTTGTGCCCGGCGTTATGCCGTTTTCTTGGTCCCCAAGGCATGCAAGAGGGCCACAACAAGATAGTGAGCTACTAGAAATTCATGTATCGACTAACATAATGATAGCAAAAGAAAATTAAGATGTTGGAAACGTGTCATAGGATTGCAAAAATGTACCTTTGTAAATGAAATGAAGCTCAGGATCTGCGAGTCTTGTCCGGTCGAAGAGAAATCTTTTCTTATACTTCATGCTGAGACTATTTAAGCCTGTAAGCCACAAAGGTAATAAATAATCTTTCATATAACTTTCACAAAAAAAAAGAAGAGAGGATTATATCCAAAAACACAGATGCATTAATGTTGAATCTATAGAAAGAATGAATCAACTTGAACATGTTTAGAGGGAGTTTGATGCAGCATGTGAGTCAAAGTCAATCACCATCCATCCATCTCAGATGCCACGTCGCCCTCTAAAACTTTTAGAGACAACTCACCCGTACTGTGTAGCGGAAGAGGAAGAATATATCCGCCACAGTACTTGTTTGGTTCTTTTGCTTTTGGGGAAATATGCTTAAACCAAAAACAAGTCCATTATTCCCTCAGTCACACCGATCAAAAAAACCAAGTCCATCATGACCCACGAGCATCACATGTTACAAATTCTCCACCAAATTTTGGTCACCCTCAAATCAATCAAGAAATCCATAACTCCCAGCATCAAAATTTCATGACAACTTCAGAGAATCCTTTCGCTATTGCTACCTAACCAACTTCCCAAGTGCCGGACAAAAGTGTGCTTTATGGACAGCCCAATCTTCTGCCTCGAATCTGCAAGCCCTTGGCAGCAGCAGATTATTCCATCGGCTACGAGCTGGTTATAAAAGTCCCGCTGTCAATAAAGATATGTGAAGAATGCTAATAGTTCAGGTGGGTTCTTGGCCTAACAAGGGAATCTCCTTCTCAAGTCAAGTCATTTGGTGCTTGTCTTGTTATCATAATTGTACTTCCTTTATCTATTTAACCTAGCCAGCAACTTTAGAATATAAATGAAGAAATTTACATCCATTAGGATGGCATATCAACAACCAGTCTATACACAAAATTGAGGTGGATGACAACCATTTTAAATATCAATACAGATATAAATTTTCAAATAATACTTGAAAATGTTTCACCATTTTCCTTTCACTAGATCATAGTTCATATAGTTAAAGAACCGGTTGAAACATTAAGTAAATATGTTGTTAGTATAATTATGCACAAAAATGAATGAGATACAACATTGCTCTAGCTTAGCTAGTCAGAAACCTGCATGTTGTATCCTCGGGCTCTACCAAGCTTAGCTCCTAGATTGATGCAGTCCCATCATCCTTGCATATGGTGGCAGAAAAAGGTTAATGGTGACAACAGTGACAATCAAGATACAACTAGACCGATAAAAGAAGATTTATGTGTGAAAAAGCCAGCCCGATCATTCCAAACCTCAAAGCATGCTTGACATATCTTAATCGTGCATCATTCAATCTTCACTGGGTGCCAATTAAAATAGAACCAAATCCTAAATAAATGCCTGAATAGCAATAAATATCTTGTTGTCGACCGATCAAACTTGAATTTTAGGCACTAATTCCCAAGACTGAAGCTTGCTCCAGTTATGCACTAGATCTATGGCTCTCTTCTTTTGCCTCTGGGCACCATATGTAACATTGGGCTCATGCATGCTGGTTACGTTTCTTATATATCTAGCCAACAAAGGGAAGAACTGCCCTTTCCGTTTCTCCAATTCTAGAAGGCTTCTGCCATATACTCCAGGAAACTTCATCTCTGTCCCAAGATAAACAACAAAACACTCAAAAGGATAAATGAAAAATTAAAGAACAATGTTGCCAGAATAGCATGGAGTGTAAGTACCTCTAGAAAACATAAATATAAGAGGGTTATGAATACTAACTTTAAACATACAACACGCCAGTACTTACAGACCGCCCATTGTACATCTACATGTTTTAGGAATCTCAAATGCTAGTGGAGGAAATAATGTTATTTATTCTAGTTAGAACCATCTCGATTTCTTTAGGCTGGTTGGCTAGTTATTACCCTCTTTCGCATCTTATTTTTCATCGTTTTTCTAACCTCCTACCACCTATTAACACCTTAACTTGTAACTTTATGTGCTGACTAATCCTGGAACATAATTTATCACACAAGACAGAATCAATGTTCAAGGTACTATGATGGAAAGTTTTAAATACCAGTAAAAGAAACTTCTTGGACCATTATGCACCAACCATATAGTCCACATGCACCAATTATATACCATAAAACTACTGAATATGTATAAATCAGTACACTAGTAGACAGTATAAAATTGGATAAGTTTGGTGTGGTTGGTATGATTGATATACCATATCATTTGTAACCATGTTATGAAGACATTCAGATATCATAAGCAAAGAATTCTTGTTATTAGTAGTGCAGAGTCCTTTGCAAGCATCAATTTCCAGACTACTAATGTTATAATAGTGGCAGGAAAATCCACAGTAACCATTTAGACATTTATATAACCCATTTATATCACCAAACAGAAACACTTTCCAATTCTTGAAATCATATACTTGTAAAAATTGCCTTAACGGTCAAGATATTTATAGATCCTAACAGATGGCCTAGTGACATAGGTACACAGGACATGATTGGGTTCAGCACAGAGATTTGTTGCATCATTCAATTGGCTGGGACTCAATGAAAAACCTGCTATGACTGGGTGGAACCAAGCAGACCAGCTGGGCCAACCAGAGCGATTAAGAATCTGCCACTAACTAGCATGAATACAGCAGATAAGTAGGAACTGATCAAATTTGTATCAAAACATTAGAAAATCCAAATAGCAGGCATTTCAATGCTAAACCAAGAACCAGTGAAACATGGAGTCTGTACTGATGACTGATGGATCCATTGGTGATGGAATATATTGGTCCTGGACTCATTAGATGTCCACCGTTGCTGGTTCTTGATGCCTTGAGATTGCCACTAATTATTGGAAATTAGTTCATGGAAAGTTGTGAAGCATAAGACAAGCATTAAATATGACACTTCTTTATTGATCCCTTGTTGTCTCATATTTGACTCTTAGTTCTATTAATTACCTCATATGATTTACATGTTCTAATTATCAGTTTATTAAGATAAAAATTACAGGAAAGTTGGAATTTATAGTTACACACACACACATAAACAAAACCAAATATGAATTACAATGCCCCCTGTTTGGATATCCTGGCACCATCCCTGATCTTAGCAGAATACATGGGTGGAGCTCACTGCTCGCCTAGCGGTTCTATGATTCTACGTTAGAATCATATGAATGAGTTTACAAATTCCTCAAATTATATGTTGGTTTCATTATAATGAAATATAAATATCTTGAAAGACAATAAATAATTATGCTCTTGTGGCCTTAACGAAAGGTCTTTTAGTTAGTATTTTCCTACAATCCAGATCAAAATTTAACAATGGTATAAAATTGGTGACATTATCTTTAGAATACTAGTAAGAAGCATTACAAATACTTATATTCTAAAGGTGCAATATCATTAGAACCTTTTACTTAGTGACAAAGACCAGAGTGTTTGCAGCATTTAAGGTGCCAATTTACATGCTTTGATTCAAGATAGGAGATGGGAAACAAATTGTCCAGAAACCACAGACAAAATTCATCATATCACAGAATTTTATCAGAATAAAATAACAAAGCAATGATTATATAACCAACTAAGCAATTACAAAGATCACAAAATGTACCTTACCATTGTGGAAAAATGGTAAGCGTGACTAACATTGAGACATTCGATGAAGCTCATGGCTCGGCGAACCATCACGAAGAAACACCCCGAGCAGTATCTGGTCGCCTGGCAACTCGTCTTCCTGCCAAGAAATCGCAAATCAAGATTGCTAACATCCCTAATCAAGCAACAACAGGCAAGATAAATAATCGAAACTATCTTATAGTAAGATTAGGAACAGTAATTAATTACAGCAATTCAGCAACTGCGGAGCACAATAATCCACCCATGATTTCTTCATCTTCTCGAAATCATCGGAGGATCTCCACGCTCATCTTGAACTTGACGCCGCGAGGTTCATATCCGTTCCAGTCCAAGAACCTCTTTCTCGACGCCGCCTTGTTCCTGAGGAGCCGTAGATCGCCCACATAGAGAGTCCCGGACACCACGGGCTCGTCGCGCTTGCGCTCGTCGAGGTCGGGGCAGCGGCGGCGGACGAGGAGTCGTAGGCGGGAGGGAGTGGGAGAACGAAGGGGAGCGAAGGAAGACAAGGAGGGCGACCTTGAACTTCCACGAGTCGATGGGGTTGATGGCGCGCTCGAAGCAAAAGAAGGTGAGGAGGAACCTCACGAGCGGAAAGAGCGCGAGACTGGCGCAGATACCTAAGGCTTGCGTCGGAAGAATAGAGTGCAAGGGGCGGCACCGCACGAACGGGGAGAGGGCGCCATCGTTCCTACGACGTTCCATGCTACTGATTAAGTAGCGGTCGACAGCACTAATAGATAACGGCCGTTATTTTTCATCAATTTACGCAGGCCAGCAACAATTTGGTTACAACGTCCGTCATAACGACAGCAGGGGGTACGGTATGCGAAAACGTCTGCCTTCCGATATATCGTTTCTCCCTTCGGCGGTATCGGCGGCGTCATAAACCGCGGTTCGTTCCTCTTTCGTAGTCGCAGGAGAAACAGAAGCAGATCCCCGGGAAAGGGGACGGCGGGGAAGGGAGAGAGGAAAACGTGCGACGAGCGATGCAGCTGTGTTCGTGCTTCGGCCCTTCGAAGGCCGAGAGGCGGGAGGCGGATCGGCTCGAGGCCGAAGAAGCCCGCGCCAGAGCCGCCGAAGCCGCTCAGAAGAGGCAATTCCCCTTCCCAAATCCCCCTTCTCCCCCCCTTGCCTCTATATCTTTTCTTATGATCCCTGAGTTATTTGTAGCAACGAAGTCTTCTCTCGATTTGTATGGATCGAAGTTTCTCTGATCGGTGAATTGCAGGCAGGAGCAATTTGACAAATCGGCCGCCGGGAGGGCAGCTCGAGCGCAGATAGCGGCAACAAAGAAATCCAGCGAGCCGAGCAAAGGAGAACCTGTTCTCAAGGTAACGTAGATGCCATTGATTATTAATTTTCTTTTTGTGTTCGGTCAGCAGAGAACAAAATGCTTGTTTCTTCTGTTGATATTATCCTTCCTTGACTAAAATTTTGGGCGTCGTGGTTGCAGTGGCAGATGGGATGATCACTCTCTTTTTGTGGATAATTAACATCCAAGTCGTAAGTTAATATCTCTAATTCAATGGATTGCTGCCCACTAGGGCAAGTCTATCCATTCTCATATTTCATGCTTATTTTCACATTGTAGTAAGTGGAAAACTTGTTGTTTGATTGCTTGTTTAGTGTGTTAACTTTGGCTTCATCTATATGTATTTTCTTCACTGCTATGAGCTACTTTTTCCATGCTGGATTCCAGAGGGGGGCAAAGTTAATGTGGTTGAAGAATGAAAATCCATAGGCCTTTGCGTTATTTTCTTTCTTATAATAAATAATCACGAAAAGGCTTTATCTAAAATCATAATTTATCATCTTAAGAATGAAATAACTTAAGCACGTACAAAGGGAAATGCTTCAGAGAAGTGGGTAAAGGTTTATAAGATGCTATGATTAAAGATCAGCCATAATAGTTTACAAACACTTTGGGGAAGAAAAATTGTAATGGTAGGCATACCCTATTTTATTTTGTTCTCTTCCATTTTAGTAGGTCTCAATGAAATATTGTATGCTTTCCTTTTGTCATAGCAATGCTTTAACTAAATGGAGGAAGCTTACACTATAAGAAAAAGGTTTACATGCAACAACAGCTGATTAGGAGGTGCTTGATTCTACTAGCAACTTGAAATTGACTTTAACATTTGACCATCTAATTCTTAGTTTTTTCTTCTTAGGCTACAGAATGGTCTTGTGAAATAGCACATCAGAATAAGTATTCTGACAATAAATTCATTAATGGATTGTTAGGACAGATGTATGACTGTGAGATTTGTATTTATTAGAAAGCATGTGTTTTGTCCTTGTTTTCTTCTTAGAAGCTTTAACTATTCAACTAGTGTATAATAGTTCACTACCAAGGTGTAATTGCTTATAAAAATGAGGAATTTGTCATAGTAAGAAAAGGTGATGTACTGTATGCATGAGCAAACTGCATCAGTGCTCCATTACTTTCTTTCTTAACACTCCAAAGTACTGTATGCATGTATATACTATTATATTGTTTTAATTTTTTTATCCCACTAATGCATGAGCATATAGGTTCCAAGAAGACCATTTGTGCATATTGCTTTCTCGAATTTGTGGTTTTTTATTGTTGAGCAAAATCATGTTCTTTGTTAGAATTTTGTTAAAATTCTTCAATATTTTGTTCCAATTAATCTCAGTGTCAAATTCTAGCATTGATCCTAACGATAATATTGATCTTTCAAAAGTTTGCTGAACTCTTGAGTTTCCACTATTGCCAAGCTAGATAATGTAATGGACTTCGACTCATGGCCCATGTTGGTTTACAAGTTACCTTATCAGATCTCTGATCTTACTTATGTACCAGCTATGGAGTAGATTTGACCTCTATGTCATTTCGTTCCCAAGTATTTTAAGGACATATGCAATGCACAATCATTGGCTGATTATGGGGCACTATTATCGGGTTGAATTAGCACATTAGGGTACCTTGGTCCACGATGCAACAGACTATATACTTATGTATGATATAATCTGAGTGAGAAAGATGCCATGACTCGAGATCAGTCAGAACAAATCACACAAGTATTTTGGAAGGAAATGAGATGGTTGGCATACGTTATTATAGTTTTCCCTGTCCTGTTCTTAGAGGGTTATGATGAAATCTTTAAGATCTTTGAGACTTCTTTTGAGTCACAGCATTGCTCCAGTAGTAACGAGTGAAATAATGTATGGGTTTACTTGCAAAACAGCTGAAGAGAAGCATGGCTCAAATATCAAAAGATGTAACAGGTAGGCGGATTCTATGGACTTTCTTATCTAGAGGTGTTCTTCCCCACTTTCCCCCCTCCCTCCATTGATGACAGTATAAAATTCTTATTATATGTTCTTAGATGGAGATAAATTTTGATAACTGGTCAAACATTGCCATGCCTATGTATAGATGGCTGATTAGGATGTGCCCAGGGCAACCCCAAAAAACTGACTTTGGTGCAATAAGGACATATGAAAAGAGCAACAGGGAAATATTGTCTTATGAAAAATTTGTCATACTTTTTCAATTCCAAAAGCTTGTATTGTGAAAAATGCTTAGAATGTTACATTTTTCTTATCTTGTCTATCAAAATTGCATCTGGATTGGTGATGTTGATATTCAACTTGATTGGGGACTTAAGTTATGAAATATTAGAAGCTGCTTGTAATTTGAAAATGGCTTTAACGTTTTTTCATCTAATAACTTCTAGCTTTCTTTGCCCAGAGTGGGGAATGGAGTGGTGGAAACGTGCATCTTCTTAGTTCAGAATAAAAGTCTCGAGGATAAATTCACTTCACAGATCTCGTTTGGATAGGTGCATGGCTTTGCCATCTGTACGTACTAGAAACCATGTGTTTGTTTCCTCGTTTTGTTCTCGGAAGCCATGAACTTTCCAACCAGTTGTTAATAGTATTTTCGATGCCATGGCGTAAATATTCATGAAAAAATCAAGAATGGGTTTGTTTTTCATATTTCAGAGTGATGCTTATCGAAGTAAATTTGATAGGAGGTTCCTCTTCTAGGTTAACATAATTCCTTCCTTTTATTTAATGTTCATTGTCATCATTTGGAAGCCAGAACTCAAGGGAGGTGGATAATCAACTACATCAACGCCAAAAGTTTTCATTGTTAGCTTTGACAAAGGTCATGACAAATCTCTGTTGTCGCATATTATCCCAAGCAGCAGAGAGAGGGAATAGGCAGGGCCCTCTGATAATAAATGTGCATTGAAACTATGGTTGTGGTGGTGCATGATATCACTGATGCGTTTCAAGGGATTTATGAAGAAAGCAAACAGAACCTTGAAGGTTTCAACATTTAAATGTATGTTAGGTGGATATATTATGTGATTAAGAATAGTTGCCGACTAGAAGTGACTTTGTTATAGAAGTGGCTTTTCAGAAAGATAAAAAAATATAGGGCACATCACAATGATGGAGAGGCTGCATTCGTGCTAAGCAACAGTAGCTCTGTGCTGATGCTACTAGTCACCTTCACGATGATGCCTTTTCTTGTCATCCATGTCTTATCTTTTTTAATTTAAATTATATATATATTATTATATTAATAATTTATTATGAATCAGTATGTCACGTAAGTAGATTTTAACGTCTAGTAACTTAGACTTATGGAATGAACTTAAATGTTATGTTTTTAAAAATATAAGGATTATTTTAACTCACGATCAAAATTAGATGAGTTAAAATGAACCTTAACCCTAGTCAAAAATACATGTATACACGAAAGATACATGACACCAAAATTTACATGCTCCCAAATACAAGCAAGCAACTAAATTTCAATTCTATATAATAAATTTTGAACTCTTAAATTGGGCTCAACTAAATTATGAAAGTTTAAATGTATGCTTTAACAAAGGTCATCATGACAAATCTCTTGGGTATAATTTAGAGCTATCCCACTGTATTCGAAGCAGCAGAGATGAGAAAGAGGGATTAATACAAAAAATGAAAGAACACTTTGGTAGCATTGAAGGAATTAGCATTAGTCTACGGGCATTCAATATTGTGGTGGAACATTCAGCTCTTTTAGTGGAACGAATGCTTATCCTATTAATGTTACGCAAATTAAGTCATAATGTTCCAAGGTATATATCTTGGGATTTCAGACCTAATCTATGATAGGTATAGAATGATATACTTTCATGCCGTAAATTTTCTCCTTTAGATAATTTATTTATTATATTTATATTTGATGTAGGAGTCACATGTGATTCATAGTCGTATATTGAGTCTTTTTTTAATGACTCGAGTCGTTCAATTACGATCATCGAATTAAGTTTTTACGATGATACCATCGTGTGTGTGTTGGAATTTTTTTATATTCTCTCTTTCTCGGTGTTTAATTAAAAAAAAAATTACATAATTCTTGTTCTTTATTCGGGCTTGTATCATATACTTGGGTTTTTCTCACGTGAATCAGTATGCTCATGAGAGAGATTGTTTAAGAATATATTAGATCTTCGACTAACAATATTCTTTGAC